AGTTAAAACACTGATCCTACTAGCCCTAAATAGTGATTAGGCCAGTGGTGGGCTGCAAATGGTTTAACAACTGGTTCAGTGAGTGTGCACTTTGCGTGCGAGCACACCTAACATGTTTGCATGCAGCATTCAAAATACAACAATTTGAAGCTCAGCTGCTTACCTTCTAAGGCAGTCCCGGTAAGTAGAATAGCAGAGGCACAGAAATCAGCTGTGCTGTGCGAATCAGCTAAGTTAGAAAGAAGGAAATATAGGACAGGATAGGACAGGGGAAGGTGGGCGGGGTCAGCTGATCATAGGAATTACTGGTTCACCCGAACCAGTCCGAACCAGAAGCAGCCCACCACTGGATTAAGCTCTAGCCCTCCAGGGCCTTAGGCAAGAGTTTTCCAATTTTACCTGAAGGCCTCAATAAAGCCTTCCTTTCCTGATCTGATTTCCACTTCAAAAGTCTTGTGATGCTGGATATTTTATTTCTACAGTAGTTCTCTGCATCTTTTCTGGTGTTGCAGCACCTCTATTCAAAGTCGATTCGGACTAAAACAGATCAATCAAAATGTACTGGTTCTTCCAATATGTGGAGTTTCTTTGAGGGCTGTGTTTTAAGGGAGATTATCATTGTCTAATGTCCAACATTTCTGTCTTTAAATGCCCCTTTAATGTAGGAGCATATGTACCCACACATTTCTAAGTAAAACTGCTCATGGAAGTCTCCACATACAGAACAGTGGAAAAAAGGGGGAGAGGTTTAGGCACTCATCTCCCTCTGAGACTGCTCAGTATCACTCACTATATCACAGGAAGTTAGAAATGGACAATATCAACTTCTATTATTCGCCTGCTCACTGTGACTTCAGGGCACATTTTTCTGCTCCACATTTGACATTCATTTTTCCATGTTATGACATCTCAAGAAATCCAGTCTATTTTGAGTAGCACTATTCAGTTTGCCTGAGCACCAAAGAATTGAGGCATTTGAACTATGGTGCTGGAGAAGACTCCTGCAAGTTCCTTGGACTGCAAGCCGATCAAACCAGTCAGTCCTAGAGGAGATAAACCCTGACTGCTCTTTAGAAGGCCAAATCCTGAAAATTCAAATATTTTGGCCACCTAATGAGAAGGAAGGACTCATTGGAGAAGAGCCTAATGTTGGGAAAGATTGAGGGCAAAAGAAGAAGGGGACGACAGAGAATGAGGTGGCTGGATGGAGTCACTGAAGCAGTCGGCGTGCGCTTAAATGGACTCAGAGGATGGTAGAGGACAGGAAGGCCTGGAGGAAAGTTGTCCATGGGGTCGCGATGGGTCAGACACGACTTCGCAATTAACAACAACAAATTCAGTTTGCTGTATTCATTCATCCCTTTTCAACAGAGGAATCCCCCTTTAATTACAATCTCTGGTAAATATGGAAAATTTATTAAGCCACCAAATAATTCCTATATTAAATTAAATAAACATCTAATACTGATGGGATTCATATATGATCCAAACAGTATGTTTCTCAATATAACATAGAAGGCAATGATTTGGGGGTCAGGCAGAATATTCATGGACAATAGTAAAAAAAAAAGTTTTTCTTTTTCAAAAAAATAAGCCAAATAAAGTCAAACTGCAGCTGAATTTATGAAAGGATCGATAACAGCTAAAAGCAGAATGAGCAATAGGCCATCAGGCCATTGAAAGAGTAACTGGGAAGATAAATGCTGTTTAGGGCATGTTTGTAGGCCCAGTGAGATAGTTTGATGGCATGGCTGTACAGCTGAAATAGTAATAATTAATAATAAGGAAATGATTCTTGCCTCATGCTGATCATCTTATTAAGGGAAGGATATTGGGGAAATTGAACAATCACAGCTGGAATGATTGATGGATGGGATTCAATTAACAAGAGATCACTGCATTTCAGAAGACCAATTTCTGAATGAAATAACTGGCAAAATGCCATGGAATACTAAAAACTGCATATACATTTTTTTCTTCACCATTTCCTTTTCTTTTCTTCTAGAGCTTAGAAACCACAATCACTAACAGAAAAAAGTTTAAAACAACATGCTGTAGGAAGTTAGCACCCAATCCCTCTCCTAGCAAAATGATATATTTTAGGAAATATTAAAAGGGCAGAATATTTCCCCAAAAAAGGGAGGCAGAAATTTAGCCCACTACCACCACCTTTGTCAATGGGCCATTAAGGCCTGAGCCAGTCCATTCTACATAACAAAGATAGGATTAGCCCTCTACTGCGTCAATTCAGTGATGCGATGGATGTGATGTGTCGGTGCCTGGAGGCTGTCAGGGTCTGGATGGGAGTCAACAGGCTCAGTCTTAACCTGGACAAGACCGAGTAGCTGTGGGTATTGCCTCCTAAAGACTATGTCAATTGTCCATCCTTAGTTCTGGGGGGGGGGGGGGAAATTGTCCCCCTCAGAATGGGCTCGCAATTTGGGTGTCCTCCTAGACTCACAGTTAAGATTAGAGCAACATCTGACTGCTGTGGCTAGGGGGACCTTTGCACAGGTTTGCCTGGTGCACCAATTGTGACCCTACTTGGATCAGGAGGCTCTCCTCACAGTCATTCATGCCCTTGTCACCTCATGGTTAGATTATTGCAATACACTCTACATGGGGCTACCCTTGAAAAGTGTTCGGAGACTACAGTTGGTCCAGAATGCAGCCACGCGAGCTGTCATGGGTGCACCTAGGTACACCCACATTACACCAATTCTTCGCGAGCTGCACTGGCTCCCTATTGGTCTCCAATCACAATTCAAGGTGTTGTTTATTACCTTTAAAGCTCTACATGGCTCAGGGCCAGGTTATCTTTGAGACCGCCTTCTGCATAGCTCCCAGTGACCGTAAGATCCCACAGAGTTGGTCTCCTCCCGGTCCCATCAGCTAAACAATTTATTTATTTATTTTTATTTTAGTCAGATTTATATACCGCCCTTCTCCCGTAGGACTCGGGGCGGCTCACAGCAATAGGACAACCCGACAATAAGTGAAAATTAAATAATATTAAAACCAATTTTAAATCCCGAAGTCCCCAAGTTAAGTTAATGTCGGCTGGCAGGCTCGCAGGGAGGGCCTTCTCTGTGGCTGTCCCAGCTCTCTGGAACCAGTTATCTCCTGAGGTCCGGACCATCCCCACCCTATTGGCCTTCTGAAAAGCGGTGAAGACCTGGCTTTTCCGGCAGGCCTGGGGCCGTTGATCTCGCTCTTGTGATCTGGCGAGATCCGGCCATGAATGGTGTGAATGAGTTTTTAATGTTTTTAATTTTTCAATGTCTTTTTATAATGATTTTTTAAATGTATTGTGAGCCGCCCTGAGTCTTCGGAGAGGGGCGGCATATAAATTTAATTAATTAAATTAAATTAAATTACCCATCTAGCAACAGAAACTCACCACATGGCACCTGGGAAGATTACAGCAGCCAGCACTAAAACAAGCCTGGGACCCCCAAACCTTGGGAATCTGACAGCCAATGGGATATATTTCTTACACAGGAACAGGAAACACTAAGGTGGGGCCCAACAGAGAGTATAAAACTCAGGCACCCTCAGCATCTCGGCCCCCTTTTTTTCTTCACCCAATATCTTGAAGCATGTGATCGCCTTTTTCTGCCAGGATCTCAAGCCATGTGATCCTGTTCAGGAACTCAAGCCATGTGATCCTGTCTACCATTAGCCATTACCATCCTGTGTTTCCAAGCAGTCTCCGTGTTTCCAGTGTCTTTTCCCCCACTTGGAACTGAACCCAGAAAGATATTTCTTCCAACAATGCAGTGGTTTATTTTCCTCCCCCCTCAAAATTATCACTTTTCTTCTGCATTTTTTTCTACTTTTACACAATTTGGTTTTTGTCCCAAAAAGCATCTATATATTTTAGTGAATTCCAATTTTCCTGGTTTTCTGTATTCATTTTTGCTGCTACAAGAAATTCTGACAAAGAATCAAAGTCTACACTAAACTTCCTATCACTCATGTTTTAAAAATTTCTAATGATAACTGTTCTGTCAGTCTTCTTTCAAAAATCCCTTATTCTGTACCAATATTTTCTATTGACTAGTGATCAATAAATCCATAAATATATATTTTCTGATTTCTTTAATATATACTTTTCCATTGCTTTTCTTAAAGCTACAATGAAAAAATAAAAGCACAACAAAACATATGGATAAAATAAATATATGTATATAGAAACTTACTAATCAACATGACATTAAAATGTGTATTATTCCACAATATTAAAATACAGATGTAATTATATTTATATTAAGATTATTATAACTTTATTTTTAAACAAGTTAAGAAAGTTGACAAGTTTCATTTGGAAACCTTTAGCATCTGGTACACATGTCTTTCTAGGGACACATAATCGTGTTCTTGGCAACTGTCCCAAAAAAACAGAAGCAAAGTTTTTCATAAATAGACAAATTCTTTATTTTTTTTTTTTTGTAAAATACAATTTAGCAATACATTATTGTCTTTAAATCTTAACTTGATTTTAAGAACTTGGATCATTGTACTAAGAATGTCCAGTGAAGAAGATACCACCAATTGACATGATCAAATCTAGTACCATGATTTTCCCATATTTCTGTACAAATTTTAAAAAGCCGCTCAGTTCCCCTAACCTAATTTTGTTCAAAACAAAGGACAATAAAGAAAATTTGGAAGAAGAAAAAAAATACAGCTGCATAGGAAATTAGAAAGTCCAGTTGGATGACTGTGGATCAGTCACTCTTTCTCTCAACCCAACCTACCTCATAGGGAGGGAGGGAGGGAGGGAGGGTGGGGGATGAAGAGCAATGTTGGATTTTCTGACTGCTTGAAATAACCTCATGGAGCTGCATTCTGCATGATGGTGAATTTGCATTCTCTTGCATTCAGTTGTTGAAAAAGTGGCAACCATGATGCGTAGCTCCGTAAAATGACTGCAAATATCAGGCATCCATTTCATACGCGGAAGCTTCTTTCTATGCAGTTTTTATTTCTTTTTTCAGTTAATCACAAATATAAGAGAAGAAAGAAGGTAAAAATGTTATTAGGAATGAAATATAATTTATAAACAAAAAGATAGCAGCAAAACAGGAGAGATGTACATAGAAAAGAAAGCTCTGGCATTTCAAGCCCTTGAGATGCAAAACAAATGAAAAATTAAACACTGAACTGATGAATACACTTATTCTGTTTCAGGCCCATTATAGGTTCAAGGCATGCAGAATATTCACTGTCTTATACGTCCCAACTGTATTTTTCTCATAGAAATTCTGTAATTTAAAGTGGGGATTTAGTTTGCTTTCTTCTTCTTCTTCTTCTTCTTCTTCTTCTTCTTCTTCTTCTTCTTCTTCTTCTTCTTCTTCTTCTTCTTCTTCTTCTTCTTCTTCTTCTTCCTCTTCTTCAGATGCTGACAGTCATAAAACAGCCATAATAAAAAACATAGCATACAAATATCCTGTTTCCCTGAAAATAGGACCCAACCAGAAAATAAGTCCTAGCATGATTTTTCAGGATGCTTGTAATATAAACCCTACCCCCAAAATAAGCCCCAGTTAAGATTGTAAATCAGATGGATGCATTTAGTACTGTATTTCTCCCAAAATAAGACCTAACCAGAAAATAAGCCCTAATTGGAGCAAAAATTAATATAAGACCCGGTCTTATTTTCAGGGAAACACTGGTATGTTAAATGAAATAGCATAATCACAGGACTACCTCTCCAATAAATTATGATCCAAAAGCCTGGCAAAACAGTCTCCCTCCAGGAAGGAAGGAACTACCATTAAGGGGGGGGGGGGTGTCCTCCATCAGGAGAAAAGCCATAGAAAAGGCATGCTTCCTGGATGTCATCTCCTTAGGCTTTTGAGGGTGGGATTTGTAGCAGGCCTTCATGCTTCAAAAATTTAGGTTGGGCAAATTCCCTTTGATGAGACTGATTCAAAGATAGCTGAGCATAGATTAATAAAATATGAACATCTTTAAAGTACAGTGAAGTTTTCAATGTAATTTAATGCTCAATCAAGCTTCAATTTTGGAAAGGAAATTGTAATTACAAAATATATAGTTATATTGAATAATTATACATCATCTGAAAAAAGGAAGGGCACAATTTCTGCCCCATGGCCCAGCCCTATGGCGCCAAAATGATAACTTTATCTATACAAATGATATGTATTAATCAACAGTATTGACAATGAGAAATTGCAGTTTATGTTATTTTCTTTAACATAAAACTGTGACTATTGCTCCCTTATTCATCAGGCCTTGGATCTCCAAATATATATTCTCTGTGTTCTCCCATTCAGTTCCTAAAGCGATATACAGTATCTGGTTATATATTTGTAGGCAGGAGCCCTCATCATGCAGTAATCCAATGAAGGAAAAAAAACAATAGAAAACAATATTACAATAATATGTGATCTACCATTGCACTTACCCATGCTGGGGAAATTAAACATTGTGATTACTCTTTTAATTGAGAAGGAGGAATATGTATTTTCCTCAAAACTGAGGTCTTAAACAGAGATTTTGTAAAGCTAACAATAATCTGCTCCTTGATTTTGTTCAACTACTCTTTTCCCTGACTCAGTAAGAGACAGTAGCAACATCTGAAGGGTCAAGGTTTTCAAACTCCCAATGTACTTAATTATTCTTAATTATTCTTTGCAATAAACTACGTAGTTGGTTACCCTAAACTGTTTTATTCTATAATCATAGATTCCCTCTCTTAGGAAAATCAACCATTTCCCATGTGCTCTGTAACTCTGTTAAAAGTCTCAGTATTATCATTTCGTTATATCCCTATTCTGCTGCAAATATAAAGATAATTACACATGTATTATTCTGTTGACACAGATAAAACCTATTTCCACCAAGATGAACTGAAGTTTCTTACATGGAAAAAAAAATAGAAGAGGATGGCCAATTAGACTGGCACTGGGCATATTTTTGGAAGACCTGAGGACCAGTGGTGGGTTGCCCCTGTTTGGACTGGTTCTATAGAACCGGTAGTAAAACTGGCGGGAGGCTCCACCCACTGACCCTGATGTCATCAGGGCACACGATCCCATTGTGAACCAGTAGTAAAGGTAAGTAGAACCCACCTCTGCTGAGGACCATGCTGGAGAAAATCTATTTATGTGATTGCTAAGAGTTATATTACTGATAAGTCACAGATGAATTGTTGAGATGAAAAAGCAGGTAGAAGGAAGCATTTTGAAAATGATAGGATCTCAACACTAAGAAAGGGGAACTGTTTGAGGAACCCAAGCAGCTTCACCAGAGATGGTATTCAGCCGGTTCAGACCGGTTTGCCTGAACCAGTAGCGGAAGTTGCAGCTCTATGACATCCTATTTAGGCACGTTTTTGAGGCTGATCTCATGCGCGGAAGGTGCGCACGCGAGCAAAGCACATGCATGGAAGGCAAGTGTGTGTGTGAACTGGGCACATGTGCACAAAGTGAGAGTGCACGCATGCAGTGAACCAGTAGTAACATAATGTGAAACCCACCGCTGATCTTCACCCATCAAAGCAATTCTCCAGATGCACACACCCTTAAACTTTCAGCAGTAGCTAAGCCTGCCTAGGGAATTCTAAGACTAAAGTTAACAGCTGTAGAGGATAGCCAAGTTAAGGAAGGCATAATGCTTATCTAGTCAAAAGTCAAAAAGTTACAGCTTGTTTATTCAAGGAGCAACTCACTAGGGCTATTAAACAACACTACTTAATTTTCAGGTATTTATATTCTTCTTTGATTCCTAGTTTTTGGAATAAAACAATACAGAACAAGAGCTGTATTTCTTTTTCCTTAAACTTTCATTCTTTTGGGTTCATAATCACTAGAAACAAATCCTTTCGTGGCTAACCACAAAGCTCTAATTCAATCTGAAAGCAACTTCTCTTCCCACTATGGATAAGGCACATTTCTTCTGCTACATTGTCCAGCTTGGTCAGAGATATTTTTCAGCTCATTAATCTACTGGTTTAAAATGAGACACAGTTCATTTTAATGCTCATGACCTTATAACTATTTCAAATGAATAAATGTAGAGATGGTTGTTGCATTGTTGCATCCTGCATTTACGAGGAAGAGTGACTAAGCTTCTTTTGTCATCATTCCGTTCTTCGAGGGCCAGAGATGAGCTGATCAAAGAGGCTTGGAATGGTGAAAGTTTCCTGAATCAGCAAAGGCAAGTTAGCAGAGAAGCTACAATTACTTCTTATACCACCAACACCACCTCTGCTAATAGGCTGTGGTAATGGAGATGCATTGTGAATCCAAGAGAGTGGGAGGCTGATCATCGGCAGCATCTGCAGAATAAGGTCAATAATAATGAGCAACTGTGAAAAAGATTGCAAATTGCACAAGGATTTATGGAGCAGTTTCTGCCTGGTGAGCAGATTCTGAAGAAGTCGAGTGTTAATAAGAAAGGCATAGTTTTTCAGTTGTGCCAGCTGCTAGGAAGATGTTGGCACACTTTCTGATGGCGTTCTTCAAAGATTTGGCTTGCCCTGTCACAGCTGAGAAAGAAGTGCACATAAGCATATTTTGAAGCAACATGTATGCAAACAGCTGATCACCAGCTTACACAGAAGTTATCAGATGCAGCGAGTAAGCAGCATACTCAAAAAACAAGAACAAAAATTGGCGGGATTTTCAGGAATGTAAGAAAGCTTTGCAATAATGAAATCTGCTCTATTGTAGTGAAATAGGTGAAGGGATTTAGAGTAGACTTTTAAAAATAAAGATGTATATGATAAAATCATGCATATATTTGTTTAGAATTACATTATTTGTTTTAATTATGTCTGCAGGGATAAACCTACCATACATAAGATAAATAAGTTTGATTTGTGCTGGGTAAAATTCACAATAACTGCAAAAATATTTGGAACAGGTGTAGGTATTCAAGTGAGCAGGAGGGGGCAAGGGAAGACAAATAATGAAGGGTGTTATGACATTGTGATGCAAATCAAACATCATTCTTATATGCAAGAGTAAAAATATGGAAGACCAGAGTTTGCAATATGTTGTCATAACTCATGTTTGTCATTTCCATGATTATGTAGTTTATGATACTTAGTGCTCCTTACTAAGTGTTGGAAGAAATGTCCATCTGGTTTCAGTTCCAAGTGGGGAGAAAGACACTGGAAACATGGAGACTGCTTGAAAAGATGGTTTAATGGTGGACGGGACCATATGGTTTTGAGGTCCTGGGCAAAAAGGCACATGGGTGTGTGTGTGAGAGAGAGATTTATACCTTCTGTTGAGTTTTGAATTTGAGCTTGTATTCTGATTGGTTGTCAGACTCCCATGGAGTCATGCCGAGGTAACTTTGTAGGTTGTCTTTTGAGTCCCAGACTTGGTTGAGCCTTGCTGGGTGATGCAATTTCCCTAGGTGCCATGTGGTAAGTTCTGTTGCTAGATCGGTAGAGGGCTAATCTTATCCTTATTGGATCTTGGGTGAGGGCATTTGCTTATGAATAGACCTAGCTATCTCTTTATCTCTTAAGTGTTGACATCTGCTGGGGGCTATTGAGAGTGTAAGGGTTATTAAGAGTGAGTCTGCTTCCTGCCTAAAAAACATGTTTCTCCATTTCTCATCCGGGGAGGTATAATATTCTGCCTTTTTAATATTTCCCTAGAATATTTCATTCTTCTAGGAGAGGGGTGGGTGCTAACTTCCTATATAAGAAACCTGTTAAAATACAAATTAGATGACTCTGGATTGGGATGGGAGAAATGAGCCACAAGCAAACCCCTCATAAACATCAAAACGAAGGTCTTTCAACTACTACTGCACATTTAAGGAAGTTCATAATTGAAATAATATGGAGCCTATAACCTTCCTCCCTAAGCAGTGAATTGAAGAGAACCTGATGAGGTATGAATCCTATGATTGAAACAACTCCTTTCTCTTCCCTTTTTTTAACTGGGCTTCCTAATGTGTCCATTTAAAAGCAGCAGCAAAAGTATTTAACATTTGCTTTTTTTTTTCCAGTCCTAAAGTGAGGCTTTATAAGTTTTGTAACTTATAAAGTTACCCCAGTTTTGTTCTGGTCAGTTGAAAAGAACCCTGCTTCAGTTTGAGATGCTGCAGAATTTCTCATAAGCAACCCAACTGATTTTAGGATTTGAGATTTAACCAAATACAAAAGTACATTCCTGCAATTTAGCAAGTAAATTGGCAGCATTTTATCTTGGAACTTGTTAGAGTCTCTAGATAATTTGCATTTAAATAACAAATAACTACATTTGGTGGTCTTATGGTCTGCTGCTGAATCACTTCTCAGCAGGAGGTCTCTGGATATTTAAACTTGCTGATAGACACAGCTCATTGCAATTTGGAATAGTGAGGAAATGAAGACAAGATGAATAAGAAAAGAAGAGAGACACAAAACCAAATATTGGGAATATATACATGTGATTGTGTATATCAAAATGTTTGCCAAAAACGATTAAGTTCCTACCTAATTATAATAAAATGTTTCTACACATACATAACCCATAATTGGATATTCAAGTGAAGTTGATGGGAAAGTATCAGGAGGGCAGAATTATCACGTTTGTCTTCACATCCTTGATTTCTCACGTAATGGATTAGACTGCCCTGATACAGAGTCCTGTACATTCAGGGATTTATAAGTAATGATAATAGTTCTTTCTCGATGCCTTGATATTGTGAGAGTCTGGGTGAGGTAGCAATATCTTTGGGCTCAACACACTCAAAGCTAAGTGACACTGAATTTTAAAGCTTCCTGGCTCCAGAGACTTTGCACTTTTAACTCTGCCTGGTGATGCCCTTTCCCAGGCAGAATCAATGCACACTTTGGGGGGCCCTTCTGGACTCACATTTCCTGATCAAAGAGCAGGTGGTACCTATGGATAGGGGGTGTTTGTCATAGATTTATCTTATCCAGATAACCCAGCAAGCTGCACTGGCTCCAGCATGCTTCTGGGCGTGATTCAAGATGCTGATTGTCACCTATGACATAGGGCCAGGCTACTTGTGCAACCACTTAGCTGTTATTCATAATCATAATCATAAGTTTATTTGTCAAGCATATATAAGATAACAGGTAAAAGTATAAACAAAATTTGAATACATGAAAAGAGTAAGTAAAAAGGAATATTAGGACAAGGACAGTAGGCATTCTGATGCACTTATGCACGCCCCTTACAGACCTCTTAGGACTGGGGTGAGGTCAACAGTAGACAGTTTAAGGTTAAAGTTTTGGGGATTTGAGGAAGAAACTACAGAGTCAGGTTGTGCATTCCACGCATTGACCACTCTGTTACTGAAGTCACATTTTCTGCAATTGAGTTTGCAGCATTTTACCTTGAGTTTGTATCTATTATTTTCTCATGTATTGTTGTGGTTGAAGCTGAAGTACTCATTGACAGGAAGGACATTGTGGCAGATAATTTTATGTACTATGCTTAGGTCAGACTGAAGTCGGTGTAGTTCTAAGTTGTCTAAACCCAAGACAATTTGGGCATAAGGTATTTTATTGCGGGTAGAGAAATGGAGGACTCTTCTCGTAAAATATCTCTGGACTCTCTCGATTGTATTTATGTCCGATATTGTTTCTGTCCCAGCCCACCAAAGCTACCAAAGGCCATGCTTAGGATCCCTTCTATTATATTATCTTTCTGGACCCAGCTATTATCTCTTCTCTGCAGCAGCTTCTACCTTATGGAATAGCATAGCCCAGAGATCCAGTTGTCCATGACCCTGTTAACCTTTAGTAAGGCTCTAAAGATCTGGCTGTTTCTCCAAGAGAAGGATAAGCAAGCTCTGCTGTTGATGTGGGATGTATTGTTTACCTCAGGCATCGTGGCTTTGATAAATGTTATGCATTGCTTTGCATCCATTCCCTCTAATTTATCATGATAAAAAATAGTTGGCAGTGATTATGACCCTCTTGTGTCTTGGAAAGGTGACTAGAAATTATAACTCTAGTCACCTGAGAACTCATTGACGTACTACTTGCCATGTAGTCATACATCTTGTCTGAGGCTCCATAGAAAAAGAAACAATGTCCAGATTTTTTTAATACAATTGCATGTAAAATATGTGTCCAAAGCATTCAGAGGTGAGAGAGAGAAAGAGAAAGGTTTACTTTACCTTTTAAAGAGTCTGTCATAGATGTTTTAGCTTCTCAGAAAAAGATCAGACATGGCATACACAAAAGACCTCTGGTAATTTCTTTCCCTTCCCCCAGTCCTTTATAAAAGCAATAATTCCTACTTTTGTTTCCAAACATGTAAGTCTAGTTATGCACCATTCAATTAAGTCAGTTATATAAACATTTTTTCTTCCTCCCTTATCTTTCCTCTACTGTCATAAAGACTGCAGCAATATTAAATTGCTACTTGTACCAATATTCCTAGATTAACACTTCTCTACTTACGTTAAGCCTAAACACATGGAATGTCATGTATATATCTTCTCTGCAACAACTTCCTATTTAGAAATATGGAACTGTGTTAATCATGCATTGCTGGTAATTTCTCAGGCTGATAAGACATTGATATCCCCTCTCGCCTTCCAGAAAACACGAACCCAAGATGTAAAATGTCATCTCATTTCCATCTCTTGTCCCACTGCCGCCAGCCTGGACCACATTAAATTCCAGAAATATTCTGTGAAGATATAAAGGTCGATTTATTCAAGTTTATCCAAGTGTATTGATTAAACTGTATATCTGGGTGATCTCCATGGGATTGTAGGAGAGAATGCTCAGTTTTTCTCATGGAATGTAAAAGGGCTGTAAACAGAATATTATCTGGTGCACACATACATTTTCTTCTCACTGTATCTTGTGTCAGGGTCACTTCTCTCTCTTCCTTTGTCCATTAAATCATTGTTCAGTGGTCAGAAAAGTGCAGGGAAGTGCAAAACACTTGGATCACATTTTAATGCTTCAGTGAAAAGCAATGCTCCATCTGATAATTTCCAATTGATGATCCTTTCTTGTGTGGACCCTGTGGCTCTTGTCTCTATTCCACCCCTTCATAGCCTCTGCAACTCATTTTATTTTCATTTATTATAGTTTATATAATATTTATATACTCTTGCTCATAGAAGCATATAACACTTCTAGTAACTTATACATTCATAGACTAACATGAACAAAATAGAGGGAGATAGAACAGTTAAAAGTCAACAAGAGAATCTTCATGCAATTTCTACCTGGATTTGTAACTGACCCAGATTGGATCATTTTCTTTCATTTCATTCTATCTGTACATCTCTGTTCCCATTCTGTAGCAAAGGGTTAAATATGCCAGAGTGGATCAAGATTTCATCACAATTGCCTATGTATCTTTAATTTGGGAGCATATTTCCTCTTCCCTGATATTCACCCATATTGAACCATTTTCTACCTCATTACAAAGTGATGAAAATGATTACTTTGGTTGAGTCATGATTAAGCATATTGTCAACCCATTACATATATAAGCAGCAACAATAATAACTATTATAGTTCTTGTTAGAGCTGTGTCATTTAGGAAATCAAAGGAACATACAGTTGAAGGCAGTTTGCACCAACAAACTGTACTTAGCTAATCTGTCACATATAAATGCCTAACCCATATGCCCACACCACGAGGCAAAGACCTGTGAGGATTAATTCCCACAGGCCCGTTCACCTCTTAACCCCTCCTCACCTTAACTCTGCCTCCAAGGTATATAAGCTCTATCCATGCAGTCCGGAGTCCAGTTCCAGCTTACCACCTGTAATAGATAGACATGTTGTAAATAAATACTTGCTGATCCAACATCTGTTTTGTGTGCTGGAGTTATTGGGCCAGATCCTCGAAAATAAGTAACAAAATGGTAGCAGAGGATGGTTAACTAGCCCAATTACTCTAAGATATGTCGGGAACCCCCAAACTGCCTGAAGCAAAGGGAAGAGCAAACACCTGAGCCTTTGCAAAGAAAATGGCAGCACAGCTATCGCCTGTGGAAGCCATACCAATCCATCAAATACAAAAAGAGGTTCTTCCTGACTATTGTAGACGACTTTAGTCACTACAGATTTGTATACACTCTTAACCATAAGAACGAGGTATACCAGAAGTTCAAAGAATTCTACAAGAGGGTAGAGGTTCAACACAACACCAAAATCAAGCAGATAATGACAGACCGGGGGTCTGAGTTCCTATCAGAGGATTTTTCACATTGGCTAAAGACACGCGGGGTATTACACTTCACTTCCTCGCTGTTTTCCGCTTTTCAAAATGGGGTGGTAGAATGCAGAAATGGCACCCTACAAACCATGATGAGATGCACCTTAGAGGACGCAGGGTTAGGACAATCCTTTCGGTCAGAGGCACTTATTTATTCTAACTACACATTGAACAGACTGTGGTCTAGCGTGATAGACAAGACCCCATACGAGTTAATGTACAGGAGGAAACCACAAATAGCACACTTACACATATTCGGGGTCACAACAGACATACACATTCCCAAACAGCTACGGCACAAGGGGGACAAAGTATCGAGAAGGTTGAGGTTTATGGGGTATGAACCGGAGACCAAGGGGTTTAGGTTCATAGATAACTACAATAAATTCATAATGTCCCGAACAGCAGTTTTCCATGAACATTCCAAATGGTCAAAGATATACCTAAACGGGGTATTCCCCCAAAAGGAACACCCAATAGCAAACAAGATGAGGCAGGTCAAGTCACAAGGGAGAACAGGGGACAGGGGAAAATCAAACCAAAACACCAGGAAGTAGAAATCAGGGAGTGGAAGAAATATCACCCAAACATAAAGCTAGACACACTCACAGAGAAGGAAGCCAGATACTTACACGAGGCAGAAACACCACCATACAGGCCAGTTAGAACAAACAGGAACAAGACTCCCAAAAGACTCGAGGACTATGTCCTATCCATACAAACTAACAACTTAACCCCAAACACCTATGAAGAAGTACTAAACCTACCCCAGGAGGAAAGGACCAAATGGGAGCAAGCCATGGAGAGGGAAATGAGTAGCCTCCAGGAGTTAAATGTGTACACCCCAGCCAAGGTACCAAATGACAAGACCCCAATTGGAACCAGGTGGATTTACAAAATCAAGACATTAGAAGGCAATAAAGTGTTATGCAAAGCTAGATTAGTGGCACAGGGGTTCACACAAAAATACCCAGAAGATTACACAGACACATATTCCCCCACAGTCAGAGCTGAGAGCGTCAAGTGTGCCTTAGTGATAGCATCCATCCTAGGTTTCGAGTTGCACCAATTTGATGTGCAGACAGCATACCTACATGTGGAACTTGACAAGAAAATTTACGTCAAGGACCCACCCAGCAAAGGTACACAAAAGGGGGAAAAATGGCTTCTGAACAGAAGCCTATATTGGCTAGAGCAGTCAGGGAAAAGGTGGTACGAATGCCTAGCCAAAATCCTCAGATCAATGGGCTTCTCTGCCACATCAGCAGACAACTGCTTCTTCATCAAGAGATAAGGTGACTCCATTGAATATGTCCTCGTTTACGTGGATGACATATTATACATTGGTAACCAGACACGCAAATGCGATAACTTTGCTGATGAACTAGGGAAACACTTCTCCCTGAAAATGTTAGGAAAGGTAGACAAGTACCTAGGAGTACAAATCACCAAAACCAACAAAGGTTTCTGGCTATCACAAAAGGAGAAAATTCTAGAGCTCCTACATAAATGTAACATGTTTGATGCCAAGCCCAGTGAAACCCAATGCAGCCAGACTTCTTGAAGAACATGTATAGCGAAGCAGAAACATTCAACGATAACACTCTTTACAGGTCCACCATAGGCTCACTACTGTATATTGCAAACTGGACAAGGCCCGACATCGCTTTACCCGTAAATCTCCTATCCAGGCACATTGACAAGCCCACCACATACCACTGGGAAGCCACCAAAAGAATACTCAGATACTTGAAATACAGCTCAAATGCTTGCCTATGTCTGGAGCCAGAAATCTCCAAAGGGCCAACGCTGACATGCTACACTGACATTGACTGGGCAGGGGACGTAAAAAGCAGGAAGAGCACATCTGGGTACATATTTTTCCTCAATAACAGCCCCGTGCATTGGTATACGGGCAAACAAAACTTGGTAGCCACATCCACCACTGAAGCTGAATTCATATGCTTGTCCAAGGCCGCCAACAACTTAATTTGGTTCGATGACTTGCTCTCCAACGTTTGGGCTGAACCTACATACCCAATCATCATTCACGAGGACAATAGAGCAGCCATCGAAATATCTAAGGCAGACGCAGTAGGCCAGAGATCGAGACACATTGACATTAAACACAAGCACGTCAGGCAGCTTTCAAGTATTGGGTTCATCGAAACCACACATTGCGAAACCGAGAAGCAAACAGCAGACATACTCACCAAGCCACTACAAAACAAACAACACGCTCACTTAAAATCAAAGTTGGGTGTCCACATGTAGTGCTTTCCCTGCACAACTAACTCACCCTAAAATCTCGGTCAGGCATTTAGAGGGGGTTTTGTCACATATAAATGCCTAACCCATATGCCCACACCACGAGGCAAAGACCTGTGAGGGTTAACTCCCACAGGCCCCTTCACCTCTTGATCCCTCCTCACCTTAACTCCGCCTCCAAGGTATATAAGCTCTATCCATGCGGTCCGGAGTCCAGTTCCAGCTGACCACCTGTAATAGATAGACATGTTGTAAATAAATACTTGCTGATCCAACATCTGTTTTGTGTGCTGGAGTTATTGGGCCAGATCCTCGAAAATAAGTAACATAAACTCTATAGTGAGGTTCCATGACTAATTTCCCAATCCTCAGTCCAAAGATTTAACTATGATTCTTTTTACTACTGATATACAATCCTTAACTTCAGATATGCAAGTGACAAATAAATTAGGCTTTCTTTTCTGTTTTCTTTTCTTCCAAGCAGCTTTTCTCATTTTCAGATGCTGTATTCTCAGGATGTGCCATCTGGATAAATTCACAACTACTGTCTGTGGTGACACTATTAAAATATTGCAACAGAACTATAGAAGAGAGGGGAGACTCTCTAGGTTCATTCAGTCCTTCCCTAGAGAAACTCAATAAACACCCATGAAATAATAACAAGCTGACAAACTAACCAATTAATTAGCAGCCATCTATCCCTCTTGGCATCCAAGTATGTGAGAAACATCTAAATCAGATCCATGTTAAGAGTTTCTAAGGCTCTCGATATCATTATTGCAGAAGGATAGCATCTAATTATAAAGAGAAACCTCAGACCCAAATTCCCTTACACTTTGTGTACCTAATCTGAAACTGACAAAGCACTGTATCTTCCTAATTCATGAACTAATCCACAAGCTTCAGAATTAAAGAGGTGCATTCTAATCAATGTCTTAAGATAGTAATATTTATAATGAGTTCTGTTATTCTCAAAGGCAGTATATAGAGTCTTATCTAAGCTTATGTAAGATGGATAGGGACATAATTTGCAGTAAAGTACATGGCTTGTATATGAATGTTCCTTTTTTCACTAAATTTCATACCATGGATATACTGTAGACAATATTAGACTAAACAGACAAATAGTCTGATCTGAACCATAATAGATTCTTGAGTTATAACGAACTTAAAAATCAAATAGGCAGATCATTGCAGATGAGGTTCATCTTCAGGAAACAAAATATAATAGAAATATATTTCAGGAACTACATATGTTCAATCTTGGGAAAGATACTCTGTGAGTGTACATCATGCTTTAACACCAAAGTTAATCTATCATCTTAGACTACAGGATTCTTAATAACGGTCTTTATACATAGGAAAGAATATTCCATTTGATTGTTATGAAATACTTTTTAACTATAGTTAAGAAATATTTCCTAACAATCAAATGGAATATTACCATTTATACCATTACCGGTATAAACAAAGTACCAGTTACTTAAAAAGATGATCTTCAAACTGACAGACATTTGTTTAGGATGCTTTAGCTTGGATTCTTGAATTGAACATGAAGGTGAAAGAGCCATGAATAGCCCTTCCAGCTGTTTGATTCTATGATTTTACATTTAAAAAAAAATCTTCTGGAAATACAGAACTAGCAGTTTCCTAGCTCAGGTCCAAGGATCAAGAACTTTTAAAAATCAATGTTAGTAATGCTAAGGAGGAAATACAGTCTGGAATTCTTATCTTGTCCAAAGATGTTTTGCTTGTTCTTCAGTTTTGAGGACTGAGATTCAGATTTATCAAGGAACCAAAAAGATAATCAAAGCTAGAAAAAAAGTGCACTGGTTCATTAAAAAAAAGTTACTGATTCTGGGATTGGAGTTACTGTTCTAGAAGGCTTGTCCTGGTTAGTCTACAAAACTTCCTTAGGCATTCAAATCAATGCCTAGGTTATTTTCAATTGCATGAGTGCTCTCCTTGGTCCTGAACATTATCTCCTGAACCTTTTAGATCAGAATTCCTCAAACTTTCTGGCTTTCAGGACCAGCGTGGGGTGGGGGGAGGAAGAGAGCTACAGGAATGTACACCCAGGGCTTGGGCTCACCCCTACTTGTCCAAGGGGGAATATGCACATGTGGACATGCTTGCCTGCTGCTTCAGGTGGCCTGGTTTTGAACAGCTCACAGCCCAGGAGTGGGTGGTAGCCCAGAGGTTGGGGACCCCTGTTTCAGATGACAAATCCATACTTACTACTTAGACCATTATCAATATAAATTCCTCACTGCTTCCTTCCACTCCCAGCCCATGTTTTCCAGCTTCAATTTAAAATTTCAGGTTTCCAACCTGCACTTTTTTAAACTTATGAGGGACAAAAAAAACCTCCAGTGTTTAATTGTGATCTAGCAACATATTCACATCTGATTAGCTTTCTGCAGCTGCTTATTCCCTCTCCTGCAGGAATGGGTGAGTGTCATTTATTTGTTTGTTTGTTTGTTAAATTTATATCCATTCATCTCACTATTGAGTGACTCTTTATATATTTGTTTTCCCCTGTTTTGCTAATCTCTTTTCTTTTTTCTTTCAGTTTTTCTTTTCTGCACTAGTTTTCCTTCTCTTTTTTAAATTTGTATTTGTTTTTATGTTTTTAATTGTAATGTTTAATAATATTACTATTAAAAATAATAATTTCCCATTCAGTCAATTAAGAACCCTCCCAGTTGGCACCCTTTTATTTCTACCCTTGCTGGGTGAAGCATGCTTGTTTTTTTTTTTCCCCACTTCTCTGCCCATAGTATTGCAAAATTTCTCTTCTTTGCACCTCCTTTTTTTTTCTTCCTTATTTCTTGACTATAGAAGATAGAAAAGAAAGAGCAACCTTACCATCTAGTCTTTGATTATTATATTATAGAGCAGTTATAGTATCATAAATAAATAAATAATTTTATTGTCATTGTATGTGTTTACACTGTATACCCATACAACGAAATTCACTTAACACCCAAAGACCAGGTCCAAAATACATAACAATCCCCAAACACACTCCCACTCCACCACAATTCTCCACCTTTTTCTCTAAGAGAAAGGGGGAAATAATTATAAGCCAAAAAAAAAAAAAGGCATTGAGGCCAGTGAGTAAGGAACAATCTCTAAAATTAAAAGGCATTCATTGGCCAACCTAGGAGTCAACTATGAAGCTTCCCTTGCTGTGCAGTAGGAAAGGCAAGAAGCTGGAAAATGACCAATCAAATCCTGCAGCAGCTGTAATCCAGGTTGAATAGAGGCGGTGGTGAGGCCTCTCCTCAAGAAGCCTTCCCTGGATCCGGCAATGTTGGTAAACTACTGTCTGGTCTCCAACCTTCGCTTTGTGGCGAAGGTTGTTGAGAGTGTGGTTGCGCAACAGCTCCCCCAGCACCTGGATGAAACGACGTATCTGGATCCGTTCCAGTCAGGTTTCAGGCCCAGGTACAGCACGGAAACGGCATTGGTCACATTGGTAGATGATCTCTGGAGGGCTCGGGATAGGGGGTGCTCCTCTGTCCTGGTCCTGTTAGATCCCTCAGCGGCTTTTGATACCATCGACCATGGTATCATGCTGCACCAGTTGGAAGAGTTAGGGGTGGGAGGCACTGTGTTGCAGTGGTTCTCCTCCTTTCTCTCTGACCAGTCATAGTCTGTGATGACAAGGAGACAGAGGTCAACCCCGAGGCCCCTCATATGCGGGGTGTCGCAAGGGTCGGTCTTCTCGTCCCTCCTGTTCAACATTTATGTGAAGCCGCTGGGCGAGATCATCCATGGTTTTGGGGTGAAGTACCACCAGTAGGCTGATGACACCCAGCTGTTCATCTCCACCCCAGACCACCCCAACGATGCCCTTGAAGTGATGTCCTGGTGCCTGGAGGCCATGCAGATCTGGATGGGGAGGAATAGGCTCAGGCTCAACCCATCCAAGACCGAGTGGCTATGGTTTCCGACGTCCTGATATAGTCAGTTGGTGCCATCACTGACTATTGGGGCGAGTCATTGGCCCCCACAGAGAGGGCTCGCAACCTGGGCGTCCTCCTGGATTCATGGCTGTCTTTAGAAGAGCACTTAATGGCCGTGACCGGTAGGATTTTTCATCAGGTTCGACTGATTCGCCAGTTGTGTCCCTTTCTGGATCGGGACTCCTTACGCACGGTCACTCATGCCCTCGTCACCTCCCACCTGGACTATTGTAATGCTCTCTACATGGGGCTCCCCTTGAGGAGCACCCGGAGGCTCCAACTGGTGCAGAGTGCAGCTACACGGGTGGTAATGGGAGCGACATGGCGTTCCCATGTAACACCCCTCCTGCGCGAGCTGCACTGGCTCCCAGTGGTCTTCCGGGTGCACTTCAAGGTTTTGGTTACCACCTTTAAAGCACTCCATGGCTCAGGACCTGGGTACTTGCGGGACTGCCTACTACCATCAATAGCCTCCCACCGGCCGGTACGCTCCCATAGAGAGGGGCTCCTCCGGGTGCCGTCGGCCAAACAATGTTGACTGGTGGCCCCCAGGGGGAGAACCTTCTCTGTGGGGGCACCCACTATCTGGAACGAGCTCCCCCCGGAGATACGGAGGATCCCAGATCTGCGTACCTTCCGCCGCGCTTTAAAGACCTTTTTATTTCACCAGGCAGGCCTGTCCTAATTTTCTCCCTCTTTTTAATTTTTTTTTAATTTTTAATATTTTTTAGTATTTTTAAATATTCAAATGTTTAAATTTGTTTTAAATTGATTGAGGTTTTAATCTGTCTGGGCCAAAACTATTTAATTTGATTTTATTTCTGCTTTTTAAATTTTGTATGTATGTATTTTGTTGGCTGTGCGCCGCCCTGAGTTCATGGGGAGTAGATTTATAAATCAAATAAAAGTAAAAGTAAAGTAAAAAGAATATCAGTCCAGTCCTATTGCCAGCCCACAATTCCTAGTCAGGAATTTCAAGGTTGGCTTAAGAAACAGCAGGATCAGTACACAAGACAAGCAGTTTAGACTGCATGCAGAATAGTCCAGAGACATGCTGGGCAGCTGTCTGAGTTTTTTCTGTTTTCTGTTGTGTTCTCTCAACTGAATTGTTGTGGTCATGGATGAGAGAAGCCCAATGAATTTGGAGACATAGCAGGAATTATTAATATGATTTGTTTTCTATTTGCATCTTGAAAAACATTACATTTTGCCAAGAGTGTTTGACTGTTCACACCAGACTTATTTGGTGGGACTTGAAGTCCATTGTAATAGGATGCTGTATATCTGAAGAATTATGAAATCAGATGACAGGCAATTGCCAATTAAGACATTCTCACGTCTTGTTTATTTATTGATACATGATAATTATGAGTATGCCTTTATTGCTAGGTAAATCGATTCAACTTAATTCAGAAACATCAGATTCTATTCCGTCAATGCTCTTTTCTCAGCATCCATCATTATTTAGCACTTGAAATTTGTTCCAGGGCACCAGCCCTGCCACATACCTTATTTAAATGATGAATATGGCCCTTCAAAAAGCAGCTGCTATTGAGACACTAAACTCAAATGGCTTTTATATACATATTATGTTGGCATCATCCTAGCACCTGGTCTAATGTCACTTGATCTGGAAAAGAATACATAAGCAAGAAACCTATGACCGCTAAGAGTTAAAGAATCATAATGGTAGTATGTTAACTATTTTTCTCTGTTATAATTAAAATTCATGACCAGTATGTTACCTTCATCTATTGAATTCATGTAAGATGACTTTATGCAAATAGGTAGCTGAAGGGAACTTCAGATAAAGAAAAATGCTTTTCTTCCAAATATATTCCATAGTAAATAATCTATGAAATGATCTAATATTAGCCAATCCAACACCTTGATAGTATGGTTGATCACATAAAATACATTTATTTATTTGTTTGTTTTATTACAGAGCTTTTAAGACACTCCAATCTGCTGACTTTGAATAGATATTACTGCCTAATTCATAACTGGGATTAAAATCATACAGTCAGGTAAACACAGAGAGAATTATTCCTATGAAACCAGAAGTGGTGAATAGAAATAGCAACACTAATAAAGGGATCCAATCTCATGATCAACAGGCAATTAGAGCAAAGCTGCCTCCTGGCTTGGTGGAACAAACAAGCTTTCATCAGCTTCCTAAAAGCCAGAATGGAAGTACTGATCACAGATCTGGGAAGTGCTATTCCAGAGGATGGAACTGTAATTGAAAAACTTCAAACCAAGAAAAGATTTCAAGTTGGCAACTAGCTCCTTGAATTTTACCTTAAGCCAACTGACAACCATTGCAACCCTTGTAGTAAAATTATTATATTGGAATCTTGTCCCACACCCATCAGCTGAAGCTGTCAAATGCTCTTCAAAGACAGGCCTACACAGTGTACTGCCTAGTACATTCAAGAGGTAATTAAGGTAATGTGTAGTGCCTGCTCTTCTGTGAAATGTTGCAATTTGCACTCAATATGGATATGTACATTAACCTTCTTGATTACAGCAACCTCGAGCAAGAGCTATGAGTCTAAGAAGACTTCCAAACTGCAAATCATTTCCACCGAAGAGCCTGCAATCCTGTTTATAGTTAACAAAAGAATCTCACTATGAACAAATGGCTTTTAAAGTTTCAGTACTGCTAGAATTGAGATTCAGGTTTTCTCCATCCAGATTTAGACAATCTCCAGGAATCCAGACCCCATTCAACAGTAATACTTGAAATCCTGGCTCAAAATATATAGTTTGTGTTATCAACATGCTCATCATATCTAACCACACACTGAAGATCTTGCCCAGTGACTCATGTAATGTTCAAATGGAGAAGAAAGAGTATCAAGTCCTGAGGCCTCTTAGGAAGAGAAGCTACAGTATATCATCCCATACAACTAAGGACTATGGTAATACAGTGCCTTCCCTTCCTAATTTTCGGAGACAGTTCAAAATGATACCACCTGTTAGTGAGGACAACTAAGAAATCAAGCAGGATCAAAAAGCTTTCCCTATTCTTCCAATCCAACCAGAGTAAGCATCAAAAATGATGTCTCCAAGCTGAAGTAAGGACTGAAACCACAATTAAATGGGCCCAGATAATTTGTTTCTTCCAAATTCTCTCCAATTTGTGATATTTCTTGTTGAATGCATCACTGCCTCTTTTTTTTAAAAAAAGGAACAACCCTCTCTTTTTCAATGGGGTGGTTTACCACCAGCCTGACCCAGCTGCCCATGACTTAGAGATTTTCATCAACTAGGAGGAGCAGGTCTTTTTATTTCTTTCTTGCTTAACCTTTTATTTTTTGATTCTCTTTTGAATGGTGTGTAAATGTAGTTTATCTCCATGTGCCTATTGATGGCTGATTTGTCTGAATGCCAAGCTTCCTGGAATTAAGATTAAGTAATTTTCTTCATGTCTTCAGAAGACACATCAATGAAAATTATTTAGTCTCACAATCCAGGGACAGACTCAACCATAGTTTCAACAGTAAGCATCCTAGAATAAGCTAAATCTAAAAACAATAGGGAATTCCTCAGACTGAAAAGGCTAACACATCCATCAGTATTAGCAGAGTAAACTACTGTATGTTTAAAAGGAGCAAATCCCATATTCACTAGCACTGCTGATGTTACCTGGCTGAGTAATGAACACCTGCAACAAAGAATCTAGCTGAGAGGAGCAAGAACTCTTTCTACGTGGTTACAAAGCAACATATGTACTGGTTGATGCATGCAGCCATAGCAACCATGGAATTCAAGCAACATCATCTCCTCCTCCATTGTCATAGACCTTCTGTTAAGACCAATACTGTTCAAGGCAGCTATTCTGCATGCAGTCTAAACTTCTCCTCTCCTATCTTTGCCAAACTCTCCTGGGCTATCTTACCATGTAGAAACAAAGCTAAGAGCAGTGAAATGCAGAACATTCCACTTCTTCATGCTGCAGTTTTTCAGGTAAGGTGAGCATTTCCTCTTTTTTTTGCTGAGCAAGCTCTTGTCAGATTCTTCAGTCTTCAGTCACTTCAAATCACATTCCAAAAGTGCCTTGGCAACATTTCCACTAAATTAGCCACTTCTATTCACTTTGATATTCCAAAAGCTTTTTAGTGGATATTACCTCACACATAGACAATCTTCTTACCTTAAGAAGAAAAGAAAAGAAAAGAAAAGAAAAGAAAAGAAAAGAATCTACAATATTCCAATGACATTGTTTGATGCTAGGTTCAAGAGCCTTAAGGAGGTGTATGTTTAAAAAAACATTTATAAAATATATTCCTACAGAATATAAAGTTGGATATCAATTTAATCATGACAATAATACTTTTTCATGGATTTCAATTGAGTCTACTGTAGAATTGACAAATTCTGGATCCTGTTTATAGTCTGGAGCATCTTCATAGAAAATAAACTTGTTACTTTATAGAACCTTTATTTGAGAGACTCATATGTTACTGAATTACAACTGCTTTGGAAAAACAGTGAAACCAAATCAAAATAAAACCTGTGTTTTCAGCCCTTAAGCTAAAAAGCACTACAGTAAAAATACATAAACCTATAATTCTTAAATAAAACTAAAATGTAAATATAATAACATATAATACAATAATATAAAAATAAATTCATATAGTAACATTATTACAGATAAGAGTTGCAATCAGCAAAATGTGTACTAATCTTGAATCATAAGTAAGATGGATATTACAAATGATAGCACAAAATCAGGCAATGTGGGAAAATATGACAGGTCTTAGTCAGACAAAAGAGGTGACAGGTAGCTCTCTACCAGGATAGTTCTTTTAAATGGGATTAAACCCTGACTGCTCTTTAGAAGGCCAGGTCCTGAAGATGAAACTCAAATACTTTGGCCACCTAATGAGAAGGAAGTACTTACTGGAGAAGAGCCTAATGCTGGAAAAGATTGAGGGCAAAAGAAGAAAGGGATGACAGAGAACGAGGTGGCTGGATAGAATCACTGAAGCAGTAGGCATGAGCTTAAATGGACTCCAGAGGATGGTAGAGGACAGGAAAGCCTGGAGGAACATTGTCCATGGGGTTGTGATGGGTTGGACACGACTTCACAACTAATAACAACAACATGTCCTCCAAGATTTCTTTTAAAGAGAGCAACAATGGAGTGTATGGCTTAGGAATTCAACAGAACCATCCCCACATGGACATACTGGCTGCTGAAGTGGAATGTTTTATACACAGTGGTAGGACTGAAGAGGAACATGCATCCAACCTGGCCAAGGTAAAGCCAATTTGAAGCCTCAGCAATATTTCAGAATTAGTATTCAGGAGAGATAAGATGATAGCACAAGACCATTTGAGAAAAATCCATAAACTGTGGAGTTGGACAGTAGGCTTAGACTACTCCAATATCCCAGAACACTTACTTAAGATGACTCCTAGTATTTTCAAACCCTAATGGACAGAGGTTTCCAAAGGTCTGGATGCTCGTTAGCCAGGTCTGTACACTCGTTAGCCAGGTTGATGCAAAATAGTCTCTAAGAGCAGTGGAGCTAGACCCACAAGGAGAGAGTAATATAATAATAAAAACCAAAAATTAAAGATCTAGAACAAAGCTCTGGCACCCACAGAAACCAAACTTTCTAACCATAAGATAGCATTCTTGACGGTACCTAGAGTGATGGTGGCATCCCTGTGAATGTTCCCAGAAGCATTTAACTGATTGTTATTGAATAAATGTGCCAGACTAACAAGGTCTTTGCTTTCATTCAGAAAAGCCCTTATACTATATTCGTATTTTTCTTTATCCTGATTGCTACCTGACTGCATTTGTTTCGGTAATTAAACATTGAGTTCACTATTTATCTTAGAATAAAAGAATTTTTCCCCTTCCACTTCAGGCCTATTGCAAAGAGCTATACTTGACAAAGTTATAATCCAATCTGAGATTTCATTTTACTGTCGCTTTATTATTGTTGCTTCATCTTGCATTCCAGGTCTTAAAGTTCCATTGTGCTATTTTCATAAAGCACCACTTTTCAATGCTAGATTGTTATTAAAAATGAATTATTCTTGCTGGTGCTTACGTGGCTTGAAATAAATGCATCTTCATTTTTATTTTTATACTTAAAACACGTTCTGCCTTTTAGAAAAGTTCAGGGTAGCTTTACAAAATATCCTTAGTGGTCACATGTTTAGATCTATACATGGAAGTGCTATTCATTATGATTGCTGCAGTAAACACTATTGTCACACTTAGGCTGTTAAGTAGCAAATACATGTTGCAGAGCTACAGTATGCTATTTCTGTAAAGAGGTTTTTGTGAACCTTTAAAAGACACCATTTTCCTTCATACTGAATTTATAAACTCTTTGCAGAATAAAGAATTCATTTAGAAGAAAAATGTATATATTCATACCTAATTTAGAATGTATGTCTCTTTTCTAACTCTTTTATTATAACAATAATTTATAACAAGAAATAATGTTTTAATAATTTAATAATAAAAATCCTCATAAAATCTATTTCTTCAACAGTTGGTTTTATGTTATTTTGATAAACTGTCATATTTTGATTATATTTCTATTCTTATGAATTTGGGGAAGGACATCTAGGACATTAGGGACACGATGGCTCAGTGGCTAAGACACTGAGCTTGTTGATCAAAAGGTCAGCGGTTCGAATCCCAAGTGCCGCATAATGGGGTGAGCTCCCGTTACTTGTCCCAACTTTTGCCAACCTAGCAGTTTGAAAGCAAGTAAAATATGCAAGTAGAAAAATAGGGACTTAGTGGGAAGGTAACAGTGTTCTGTGACATTTGGCATTTAGTCATGCCAGCCACATGACCACGGAGACATCTTTGGATAGCGCTGGCACTTCGGTTTTGAAATGGAGATGAGCACTGCCCCAGGGGTGGATTCTACTTACCTTTACTACCAGTTTGCAATGGGGCTGCGTGTACATACGTGTGCTCTTCTGCACATGCGCAGAAGTATTTTGGTGATGTCAGGGTCAGTGGGCGGAGCCTCCCACCGGTTTTACTACCGGTTCTATAGGACCAGTGCGAACCGGGGGCAACCCACCACTGCACTGCCCCTGAGAGTTGGGAACGACTAGCACATATGTGCAAGGGGAACCTTTACCTTATATTTAGGACATTGAATTCAATCTTTTCCTATGAAGACACAAAATCCATTATGCTTGGGCCTGCATTCTTGCCTGCTAGAGAACTTTCCATCTGAAATCCTTTCAGTTTTTATGAAAAGTACCTCCACACCACAACTGCCATAAAATCTTTTCTCAGTAAGCTGATTTCTACCAATTCTACCAATCTTTCTTAGTAAGCCAATTTCTATTACTTGATCAACTTCATATCATCTCTTCTCTAAGCCTCTTCCAGTTTGTCTTAGACATACCCAATTCCAGCAACGATTCTTTGTATATTTTACCTTCCAGTCCCCTAATAATCTTTGTTCCTCTTCTCTGTTAAGGGCAAGTTGGATAATATGATGATTAAAGTTATATATAGTTGGCTCAAAAATCATAATCATCATATTATCCAACTTGCTGGAATTGGGTATGTCTAGTTTAATGAAAAAAAGGACTAGGGGTAACATGATAGCAATGTTCCAATATATCTCAGGGGCTGCCACAAAGAAGAGGGAGCCAAGCTATTCTCCAAAGCATCTGTAGGCAGGACAAGAAACAATGGATGGAAACTAATCAAAGAGAGAAGCAACAAACAACTAAGGAGAAGTTTCTTGACAATTAGAACAATTAATCAGTGGAACAACTTGCCTCCAGAAGTTGTGAATGCTCCAACACTGGAAGTCTTAAAGAAGAGATTAGACAACCATTTGTTTGAGATGGTATAGAGTTTCCTGCCTGAGCAGGGGGTTGGACTAGAAGACCTCTGAGGTCCCTTCCAACTCTGTTATTCCATTAACTAGCTTGCTTATCAGAATGTCATGGGATACTTTGCAGAAATCAAAATAAAAAATCCATCTACAACAGGGATGTCAAACTCATGGCCCAGGGGCCAGATGTATCATGTGCTGGCCACGCCCACCCCCGTTTTAGGGGGGGGGGAAATTTGCAATACATCACATGACGACAACATGTTGTCATGAGTTTGACACCCCTGATCTACAAGATGCCCACAAACTATTGAAGAAGTTATTGAATCAAAACAGAGAGAAGTTAACTTGTCAGAGCTACAGAGTGCCTAAAATATTTTCAGGGAAGATGGCAGAATTATCACTATGGATCAACAAATAATCTAAATACATTATTAAAAACTTGTCCAATAGGTCATAAAAATATGATCCATAAATCTCATGAAGCCTAAGGAGCTTACAAAACATCCAAATAATATAACTGTATATTCAAACTACCAACAGCAGATAACAAAGGTCAGTAAATATTTATGACCCTAGGTAAACTCTTCTGAGATTGAACTTGCTAAAGTGCCTGATTTTCTCAGTCATTTTAAGAATAAAGAAATGCTGGGAATGTCCCTAATGTTCAGAAGCCCATAATCACAAATGAAATGTTTATAATCATCCCTTAAATAATAATAATAAAAAGATTGAACACTGTAGAGGAAAAAGAGGGGTAGGTGAAGTCATTCTGTATATTATTATGAATAAATTCATTTAGGCTGACCAATTCAGCCTAAATATGGGAGAATGTCTTTTGAGAAAATCTGTGGCAGAGGAATAAGGAATAATAACAGAGTTGATGTGG